TAACAAAGTTATAGCCGAAAAACTGTTTTTTTTTTTCACTAAAAGTACTATCTCAAAATGACTGCCATTTTCTTTCTAAAAAAGGAAACCATGTCAATTTTAAGCCATCACTTTAGACATAAAAATTGTAGCTCTCTGTCGAGCTTAAGCACAATCTGACAAAAACTGCATGAGTTAGTTAAAAAGTTGATTGTGCTCATACATATATACATCCCTGGCTGAGGTCCACGATCGCATTTTTTTACCAAAATTTTTTGAACACAAAAACAATAAATTTCAAGAGTACTTGCACTTTTTGTTCGTGCAAAACTATAAAGTACTCCTAAGTATCAGTTGTGCGTAAAAAATCGAAGGAACGAATTAAAATAGTAAAAATAGATACAAACACATTAAAAAAGTGCATGCCTTACTGCACCAGTATCAGAACATTGATGTCAATCTAATAAGTTACAGAGTCAAGTATGTTATGGCAGACACAGGTGACACAGCTTTTATAGATGCTACAAACGTTAGTGTAGTTTTTTTAAAATCGTGAACTAATAAAAAATTCAACATAGCTTTTATAGATTATAATATATTATTTTATTTGATGAAGGTCTTCTTAATTGACATAGATAAGTAAAGCTGGAAATTGCTTTTTTATAATTTTATATAATACTGACTATCCGATTATCTTCAAATTTTGTTCGTACGCTTAGTTCTAAAGACACTACAAAAATCTTTAAAGAAAGTAAACAACTAATACAACATAAACATTAATATATATGTCAGAATTTGTAAATGTATTAAAATGAATGTTGTATAGCAAAAGAATGTTGATTCACATTTAACTTCAAATTATAATTTAAACCTAACTGTTACTTCTTCATAGTATGTTAAATCCTAGTATTATGTTGTATTTAAGCGAAATAGTTAAATATTATATACAGATGGACATAATTTCTTATTTGTTGTCAGTTATTTTGACACGAATGTCTTACTTAATACATCCACGGATTGTATCATATTTTAAGTGTTTATATTACATAACTCATTAATTTTCTATGAAAAATTTTAATCTGTTAAATATGATGTATAGTCTTCAGAACTACATCTACAAACAAATTTTTAAGGCAATTATGAAGGACAGTAATTTTTAATAAAGCCATTCAGTTATTGTTAGATTGGTTCAAGCTAAGATAACGTGGTAATAATTCAAATAACCTTTTTGTTTTTACAAAATGTAATTAAAATGACTATTTAATTTAATTACTTTTAGTTTGGACAAAAAGTTCGAGAAAAAGTAAATGTTAAAATTAAAGTAAAGGTAACAATGCTCCAACATACATGTTATGTGTACCTACACACTATTTTTATAACAAGATGAAAATAGACCTACTACGAAGTGGAAAAAATATAATAATAAAATAGTCAATACTATTTGTGAGTTAAAAAACTGCTTATCAAAGTATGTATACTGATCAGATCAACAGATAGAAAACTATATTATGAAACAATTTAAAATGAGTTAGATTTTTTGTAAATACACGATTTGGAATATGAGACAAATAGTCGATTCTTGCAGCTGTAATGATTTTAACTGTCAACTTTATTCACGAAAGTTTTTTTCAACGTTTCGGCTATTTGGAAAATAACTCCCAGCCCTAATCAGATGCAAAGTAATGCGAATAAGATGAAAAATAAAGTTTTTGTGTAGATGACGTTGACAATTAAAGTAATTAGACGTCTTACAGTTATCATTAAAAAATATTCTTGAATTCTCACTACGTTTACTGGTTTCTTTAAAATTTGTCTAGACGGAAAAAAGCGTTAATTGTTGAGAGAAATTATTTGAAACAGTACATTTTTTACTTTGGCCTTTTTGTTTACCATTGGACGTTTGCTGCGCCCTTAATAGGAAAACTAGAGTTTGCCAAGTTTGCCATCCAGATAAGACATGCACAAGTTGGACCTCCAGCCCAAAATTATTATCCCAGCATATTTTTCTGTAAATTTACCTACAGGTTTTGTGAAAAAATTTCTGCGGGAATATTGTGGACGAGGGCATGAAATTATTGACAGAAAACATCTGACTTTTTGTATATGAAATCTTGCTAAAAATCCTATAGGATTTCCTACACAACTTAATGCGTATTGTACTTTTTTTTTCTATTTTGGGCCTTTTTTGTGACATTTGGAAGTTTCCTTTACCCTTGGTGAGAAAATAGTGGGTGTCACAAAAACGCCATTGCCACCAGGGCCAAGGGCTATTTTTCGGCCCTAGGGACTTGCGAAACCGGGCTCGAGTGGGTATATATAGCCCTAGTTGGATGGTGCTATTCCTGCAGAAAACTTTCATAACTTTCGAATACTGAATATTTTGATAGTAATATTAATTTTAGTTACCGGTGTGTATCTCTTCTAGGGTGATCTGGGCGATCACTGGGCCCGAGAGCACTAGCGGAGCTACGTTGTTGGCCTACCCATTATCTGTTTACTCACAAATGTATTTCTTGGCTTATTTTGGCTGGAATACTTTAATGTTGATAGCCCAGATAAAATTGAAGTTTTCTATCTTATCGATGAGGTCGATTTGATTATTTATTTAGCCTTATAACATCAATCATTGATTGAATACCTCGCTATTTTATAAAAAAAAAAAAAAGAGTTACCTCATATTTTTGACATTTCTAAGAATAATTCAAACCCAGACTCGTATTCTTATTCCTACTTCTATTCGCGTAAAAATCAGAAGTCTAAATTAAATACGTAAGGGGATTTAGTTAGCTAACAATCCGTGGGATAGGAAACTAATACACCTAATGTAAAATACTCGGAAATATGCACTGAAGGTAGTATTATTCATATAATACGCTTTTTCAATGCAATTCATTGCCAAACCAAGAGTTGTCGTAACATTCTTCACTCTATAAAGAATACATAAGGTCTGATTTTAGTCAGATTAATCGTGACTTGAAAACGGAAGACAAAAAATTAGATGATGCATTCTTTATTAAACATCTAATTTTTCATCTTCCTCCTTCAACTTTCAATTGATCTCACCGAATTTAGGCTTTAACTATACTTTTTTGAATGTTAAGAATTTCCATCAACTCCTCTTTTTTTGATCAGGTAGATAGTTGGAGGTACGGCACCAACTACGTTAGTCAAGACGAGTGTGCGAGAGAAATCCGATTATTTGACACTTTTAGGTTATCAATTTTTTTTGGAATTTCAGAATGTTTATTAATTTCTCTTCAAAAAACCAACCAACAGATGTTTTTCTATTAAAAACATCTCAAACAGATATAGCACTAATGGTTGCAGTTTCACCGAAATTCATCCGTTAATTTAATCAGAATTTTGTAAAGGAAAATAAATTTGTACAATTTCCCATAAGAGGCCCTGTTAAAATTCAAAAAACTATTTTATTAATTTCTCGGTCTAAAATTAATCAGAGGTCTTGGAATTTTTCACGTACACTCGATTTATTAGATGATCGACCTGTGGACTAAATTTAAATAAAATCCTTCCGTCAATTCGTTATGCTGTGGTACCTCCTTAATAAGTATCGTTATAAAGTTATCAAATATATTATAATGTAAAAATCCAAACATGTATGCACAGTATAATTAAATCCACCTCATCAATAAAATAGGAAAATTCAATTTTCTTCGGATTGCCAATCAGGATGGATGTTGTGGTGCTTTTGCGGTGGGCAGGCAGGATCTTTTCATAAGACTATATGTATATGTTGATGAAATTCGAACTAATCTATGCCAACAAACGTCCTCACTTTCGATTACAGAAAATTCATTCGTATGTAACTCACCAGGACTCGACGAAAATCAATGAGATATTTTGAAAAAAATTACGTTCAATATATCTTATGGCCCCTAATTCCCTACAAAGCCAAACGGTGTGAATATTTTTCGTGGATCAGATAACAAAAATTAATTAAATATCATAGCAAGTCTAACCTTTTAACAAAAGGTGGATTCCTGTGACATCCAACGATTTGCGAGTAAGTTTATTTCATTGTGAATGACTTGCTGATAGATTTTTGTCACAATACATTGTACTATTTATTAAAAAAAATTTTTTTCTCACACTAATACCAATGAATATACTGTGAGTAGTAGTAACCCAAAGTACTGGTTTCACATGATAATTTATAACAACCGTTGTAAAATAAAAATGTAATCCTATGGTTCGATTGCTAATAGCGAGTATGACTAATTCACTCTAGAATGACGTAAAAATACACGCGGAGATGGAGAACAGAGGAAAAGGAAGGAAACTCGAAAGAAGAACAATAGAAAAGCAATTCAGCTATCAATGAGTGTGCACAAGTGACTTATGGATACGAGTGTGTCGAAATAAGACAAAGTTAAATAGCTCTATAAATACGTGGGAGGGACTTTCTCCGCGCCCGTACATATAACGCGCAGCATAATATTTTGCATGTGCGTACATGGTACACGTATCCATGTGTATTTTTTTGTTTTTCATGTATACGCATGAGCTGGTTATTATTATCGTGTGTACGTATATGTATATGTAGCCACAGTGTACAATATTTTGCAACCATGACGGCAGAGAGAGAAATGTATATACGAGCAGGGCACTGTAGACAATGAGACTTTACCTGTATGCAAGTATTTTATTCTACAGGGCTGGCAGTGACAATAACATCAGCAGCAGCAGCAGCAGCAGCAGCAGCAGCAATGGCATCGTAAGCAGTAGCAAGGAAACAAGGAGCCTTTAAAGAGGGTCAAAGGGGAACGGCGAGGATCGGATTGTTCCCGTCAACAGGGGCAAAAAGAGGTAAAGGAAGCAGAGGACAGACTGACGCGCTGGCTCTGCGAAGTGTATAAGTATATATAGGTAAAGTAAGAGAACAGAGATGTATATGCGCGTCTACCGTAGCCAAATGACGGAGCCCAAGGCAGTGACGCAGACGACGATGACGGCGACGAGGACACAGACACCGATGACAATGACGACAATGACAACGACCACGAGGATGTCGCGAAAGGCCGTAGCACTCGGGGCTGAGGGCGCTTGTTGCTCGGGGCGACAGACGACTGCAGATAGCAGCTGATTGCTGTCTCGCCGTTCAAGTGATGAGCGAGTCCCGGCATCTTCGCTCGGTCTCCGATTTGTACGCAGCCGACGAGATAGAGGTGCTCCTCCTCGAGGAGATTCGCGACCTGGAGCCGCCGCCCGCCGCCTACTCGCGGCCTGAAGACATTCAGGACTTTGAAATCGGTAGGTCCTTCATGCAGGCCACCCTCTTTCCATCCATTACCATCATCATCATCATCATCATCATCATCATCATCATCATCATCATCATCATTATCATCATCATCATGACTACCATCGTCGTTGACATCGCGTTTTTGTCAAAGATGATAATGTATTCTTATTCTTACCTTCTTTTCCACCAAAACGATAGAAATGATTAACCGATCGAATAACTCGGAAAGCCGATAACCCGAGTCGATCGGAATCGAGACCTACAGGAGAGCGAAACAAGTTTGAACGGAAACGTCAGTTTTCGTGAGTCCACCGCGTGTACACATAGGCGCGCAAACAGAGAGGGAAAAAGTGAGTAGATAGTGGGTTCGCTTGAGAGGGTTGGCTGAACGCATACGTGCGTGGGTCTACACCGAGAGGCGTACTTGCATTGGACATTTGCTCGCGGAGAGTGGCCAGATAGTGCCGCGAAGCGTGGCAAAAAGGAAGTGGCTTTGCTATCCGAGAGCAGTGCTCTTGTCGTCATCGTTGTCGTCTTCGTCATCGTTTGCGTATTACCGTATGGGTACATACGAGGACGCTGTACTGGTACGCGTTCCGTTTAGAGCCGTATTTTCAATTTGCATAGGTAATCGGTTAACAGCGCTCGGCACTTCGTCCGGTCACCCGACTATCGGCCATAGCCTTACTTGTTCCCGCTCTTGTCTGTCTTCATACTTGTGGGTAAACATTTGTTACGCTCCGCGTGACGCTCTGTACTTTTTTTCCGTGGCAGCACACATCCCGCAACTTCCTCCGGGCAAATGGCTTATTCTCATTCGGCGCGTGGGTCTAATGACCTTTTTTTCTCGTATCACCTGCTACGCTGGTAAATCTACTGCTGCTGCTGCTCTTTTTATATTCAACTCGGTGCTCGCTGCGTTTTTGACACGGTCGCACTGTTGTTGACTTTGCGAACCGGTACCTATATCTACAACACTAAAAGTGTATCATTCACTTGCGAACAACTTGCACCGACCTCGTCAGAAAGTTCAACCTGTCGTTTATGATCGTTTCAACAAGTCTATGATTGCATTACAGTCATTGGAACATTCTTTTTTTTCTACACATTTCACTTTAATTGATCCCCTCTATGATAGTCAAATATATCAACAATGTAATTACATCATTTCATGAAAACTTCATTATTTGATGCCCCAGGTCATTTTAATCTATTTATCTTACCAAAATAGGTAAATAGTCATCGCTGTAACTTAGATCAAAGTTATCGGTTAGCTAAATCTCGTTTACAAATATTTGTTTGCATACAAAAAATACCAGTTTTTATTTTAATTTCAAAAGATTCTAGCCTATAGATTCTGGGTGAGAAAATCATTGCCTGAGTTAATTCATTATTTTATTGCTAAATAATGGCTATAGAAATATTCTGATATCTACTACATACGATGGCTCACCATCATATGAAAAGCAGTAATAATGCTGATACGAGGTTTAAAAAAAGGGCCCTCTGAGTTAGAACCCTTATGCTTGAAGACTGGACTAGGATCTCAATCTTTTTTAGTTAAAATTAAAAAATTGCATTTTTTTGTCTATGAAAATGTAGATGAAAGGTAACTATTGTAAACTCGACAGTTATGCTAAATTCTTATTTGCAGCTCCAAAATTATTGTTTAGAAGCATTTCGTAATTACCAGTTCCATCGTATTTTTTGCTCAAATTTAACGTTCCTTCGATAAATCAAATTTACATGAATTCTTCGAAAGTATGTTGTAATGCTGGGCCAAAAGATTTAAAGATTTTGCAATAAGGAAAGGACATATTGACGGGTTAGGTATACGTATCTTCACATTCAGTACGTTAGGTATATTTACCAGAAACTTTAATATTTTACAGTTGAATGGCTGCAACTGCTATTCTTTGGCTATTCATTATTAACTGTATATGTGCCCATGTACGCATGTGGTAAAGTACACTTGTGAAAAAGTGTTAAGGTAGTAATATCGGTACCTCACTAATCAAATGTATAACGTTGCTCAAAAATAAGTGTCAAGTTACACTAAAGCTTTCATGGGAGATTATGTTTTAAATAAATAGCTAATTCTCATTATATTTATATTTGATTAGAGCTGCATTTACTAAAAGTAGAAAAAATGTTTTGATTGACTAGATAAAATTTCAACATACAAATAACACTTTAATTAAAAAAAATAAGTGACAAATTTTCAAAAATTGGAGATTTCAGTAAATTTTGTTGTTTATTTATATCTTGAAAATACATGTACAAAGTTTCAAGTTCTAATATTCCACAAATCAACGTATGAATACTGCAGCACGTATTTGAGTCCACTTTTTTTTTCACTTTTCTTCAATGATAGGCACCGAATCGGTACATTCAAGTGTTTATATTATTCTGTAAACGTAAACTTTTTCTTCCTGTCATTTTTGTTCCAGATCTGAACGATAATTTTAGTTAAATCTGCGTTTTACCGGAAATAGTACTACTTATAACTTTTTTAAAAGATACACTTGCTTCACAAAAATTGAACGAAGCTATTTTTATGTAAAAATTCGATAGTTCGTATAGTATCATTCATATATTCTAGATCAAAGTATCCTTTTATTTGTGACACGATTCATTTACGTATGGTTCATACCCACAACAGTTGTAAACTGTCGGTACGTTTGAAACTGCACACAAATTCTCTTCTCGTACAGAAGCTGTTTGCCCGCAATTCAAGATTGTTTATCTCGTAACTCCGTCGAAGGTCTTTATTTGGCCTCGTTCCCAATCCTTGTAGTATCGCCGTTACAGATAAAGTTAGCTCGCAACCATTCAACAGTTATTAACCGTAACAACAAAGTGGTAAATCGCGCCTATCAACGATCAACAAGTATTGAAAATCCAGAATTGGAGTTTGTATACGTTTGCGTGGCGGTGAATAGCCGGTGTTTGGAAGCCGTATGGCAACGCGTTGGGAGAGAAATAAGATCAGCGGTACTCTTTGCAATGTATTCAAGCAAGCCCTCGGCGTTTGGCTTCTGATTTGTTGTCTCCTCTCGCTAATTTACCTCCGGCTCGTCTCTATTTGGCCGTCCGCTCTTTATTCCCGACTCCCGTCCCATCTCCTTGCCGCTGGGCGGTTCTCCATTTGTCTTCCTCTCTTTTTCCTCCTCCCCGTGCCTCCTACCACCGCCAGCCTCCCCCCCTCTCTCCCCCGTTCATCCGTACTCGGCGTTTCCGTTATTTATTCCTCGAGCATTGTTCTCGCCTTCGAATCATTCGATGTAGATTATCGGGGCCCCGTAACCATGCCGTCACAGCCTCTTGACGGCCCGGCGTTTAGCACCGATAGCCTGATTGTCGCTACTGGGACGTACGATTCTATTAGTTATTCATGCGCGTTGGATCTGCTCGGTATAATAAGGGTTCGGACGACCAAAGGATGAAGGTATACGTCCTGCCGCGATGCCAATACTTTTTCTCAATTTCGCTGGAAACAAAAGTATACAAGTCCAGTTCTAACTCGTCACGGTCGCGGCTGGTTCGATTTCGTTTCGTTTCAGGTGGACCACCACGTGCACGATATGACAGTCGATGTAGGCTCGGGTGGGCGTTCGTTATTTATGTACACCCAAAGTTCAATTACGATTGCGAGGAAGTTGCCGATGAAAGGGCGATTGAACGGGGCAGGGAACCGTGAATCGCTTTCGAATTCGATAACTCGGACCTTGCAGGGTCGAGCTGATAAATACGTTTGCACAAGGGGTCTCGGAGTAAACAGAAGAGAAAGGAGGAGGAGGAGAAAAATGAAAGAACGTACAGCGGAGGATCACGTAATGATCGAAGCACGATTTGTGTATCGGGTGTTTTCGTGCGGGAGGGAGTCGAATGAGGTCTGGTGCCCGGAGCGGAGTGTGGCCTGGGAGGGGACATCGCGATAAAAAAAGCCGAGAGTCACCCTCGGGAGGATTTACGACCCGCAAGTTGGGCGTTCGCTTTTCGTTATGTAAATTAATAAGCCGTCGAACGGGCCCCCTCCCCACCGCTCCTATCTCCCGATCATAAGTCCATGGTATCTGACCTGTGTAAATAAGCGCGGTTACACCCCGGGCTAGCGTGTCGTCCGATCGGCCGGTGCACGGCCTTTTGAATCGTCATCCGGTGCCCTCCTTTTCACCTTCCTTTTTTTTTTTTTTTTTATTCCCTTTCAGCGCTTTTGACTTGTAATTTAATCCGTGTGTGTTTGTACATCGAGTGGGAGCATCCCGTTTAGCTCAATGGACTCGGGGGGTTACACTTTGCTAGAGTATCCCAATAATCGTATTTCCATTTATTCACGTTCTCGGTCAAATTGGCCGATTCAAAAAAATCTCGAGTTGATCGATTACCTTTTACCACCCAAATGAAAAGGGGCAAATAAAAAGAAATCCTCCACACCCCGCTGGTATTACTTGCACGCCCGATAAATAATAATGATCATACGCGCGCTCAGGGGTAAACAAACTGCATGATAATAAGGGGCAGCCTAATCGGCAATAAGGTGATATACCTACCGGGACTGAAAATAAAAATCAATTACGAATCGGGTGGACAGCAATAAAATGATGAAGAAAGAGGGAAGGGAGCCGAGCACAAAACGCGTGGACGAAGGGTCAAAGGGTCCGGGGGTAACAGCAGGCGTCGCGGGCAATTTATTTATTCTCGCTGGTTTCTTTCGGCTGGAAATTGAATTTCAAGCGATACGTCTTGTACGCGCTTTTGAACCCGGGGCTGAGCAACGACCGTAAATCCGCGTTCGACCCTTTCCTTTTTGCGCGCTAATATCGACAAAAAGACTCGCGCGCGTGAGAAGAGCCGGGGACTGAACGGGAAGAGCAAAAGGGAGGCTATAATGCGCGCGGGGGACAGGGAAAGAGAGGGAGGGAGACCGTGCAAACGCATGCCTACACGATACGTGGAACACAAGTGGTGAAGGAGGAGGAGGAGGGGGGGGTCCAAGAATACGGGGAGAAAAGGCAAAGACCGTAAAAATAAAAACCAAATGAATATAAATGATCAAAAAAAAAAAAAAAGGAAGAAAAAAGAAAAGAAATAATAAAAATAAAAATGCGATCGGACAGAGTTAGCAAGGCTATCGATTTAAACGCAGCAGGTAGCCGGACCGGAGGGCGCATCAGCTCTCAATCTTCGGAGCTGGATTCTCCCGGGATAAACTCGACGGTTCACTCCTGGGACTCGCACGCGAATTATCATGGGAGTTATGGTCACGACGATCATCGTCACGGCTCATCTGCAAACACCATGGCTTGGCCAAGGAGCAGTCATCTGATTTTCTACTGCGACGTACAGGGCCACCTCAAGACCGCCACCGGCTTTATCCGGCTGCTGTTGCTCGTGAGTACATATATATATATATATGATATATATTCGTATAGTTATACCGTCACGTAACTATATACACATAACATACACAAGTGTATACGTGTACCGCAATGAAAAATTGTTTCTTCATGACAAACATTTGTCACGTTATTATTTTTGCTTTCGTCGTCGTACTATTGAGTGCGCGGACAAGAAATAATTTTACTCATTATACACAATGGACGCCTTCGTGACTTTGTCATTACGTACTTTGCACTCCCCATTGCTCTCGTCGATGGGCCATCCTGACGCTAATTCTAACGGCAATAGTTAATAAAGAAAAAAAAAAAAAAAAAAAAAAAAACCACAAGCACAGTCACATGGGCACAAAAAAGGGACTGGAAATGACTTCTCCGAGCGATTAATCGACATACTCGGGTAATTGTCGAGCTTTTTTGTAATCCCACCACCAAGTATTGATGATCGTAATATCCGCGCTAATGACGTTCATAAATTGAGTGCATCAAAAAGACAGAAAAAAAAGGACAACGTTCACCTTTCATGAGTTTGTTACGCCGGTAAGCCAAGAGTATCTCGGTGCAGTTTTTTGTTTGTTTGTTATCCTCAATATTCGGGTCATGCAAGAACAAAACTCTTGCGGGGGCGAATAAATGAAAATTCAAGCACTGCAAGTGCCAAACTTTATTGACTACCATGGGCGTACGCTTTAGCTTTTTTTAGAAAAAAAAAAAAAAAAAAAAAAAAAAGAAAAAAAAAAGATAGTATTGCATGTCTGCCCCAACTTTCTCATTATTCTACACATTACAGTGCAAAAATGTATTGCTCGACGCGTTCACAAAGGAAAGGGACAGGGAAGAGAAAGAATCGTTCTTGGAAAGCCGTGAAAGAAGAGCACATACAGTCGTGTACCGCGCAAAAGCTATTTCGATAGTAAGTGAGTGCGGCGCGTCTCGCAGGCAGGTATACGGCCTCAGCCTGTCAGCCCGGCACCGCTCGGTTCCGCAGAACGCCTAATTGCCTAAGCGCAGGGGTGGTAACCTTGCAAGTATACTTACACGCCGCCTCCGATGTTTCTCATCTCTCGCCGAAGGAGTATTATGCTTATCGCCTATGGAATACAAACAACACAATTGGTCGACTTACCCACAAGTACTCGGGTGTACTTTTTGTTATCTTCCGCGTGCACTAACTCGGCATCTTCCTCTCTCTAATAGCGTTTTATTAACTCGAGTTTCATCATCGCATCACGAGTGCCCGTGTGTTTATGCAATTAGACATTTGGCGTGCAATAGAAAAAAAAAATTTCTTCTCTTGCGCGCGATTATCTGTATTTTGTTTAATGTTGTTGATGATACATTGCCGAAGAGAGGGTCTTTGCCAAAAATGGCGTAAAGTTGTCTATAAAGGAATCGTCAAGGATGTGATGAAAAGAAGCGGGCAAGTGGGACGTGATCGATATTCTCCAAGTTTAAGTACACCGAGCGGCACAGCTCGACAGCTTGAAAGAGAGAAAAGAAAAAAGCTGAGATGGAAAATTCTTTTGTGCAGTTGTCGTCCGCAGCGTGCCTGGCGACCCTCTGCAGCTCGGGAACTGCCAAGGTCAGTCTGTTCATGCTACCTCTGGTTGGGAGGCTTCGTTTCATGATCTTCGTTGCGGTCTTCTGTCTACTGATAACTGCGCTGCTTCTCTTCCTGGACATCTCGCACGTCGTTTACTTCTTTCCCTTCAACTGGGCGCGACTGGTAAGAAGCTACGTATGATTTTTACAATTAGTTTTACATATTTTAATGAATCGGACATCCATTGATGCTTTTTCACCTGCAAAAGTGTGTGCACTATCGCGCATATCAATACGACGTGATATTTCAGTACTTTTTGAGACTATTGTCTGAAAAGGTACTTAAATAGGACTTAAAAGTACATAATTTATTTCTATAATTTCATGTCAGTAAGCTGCATTATTCTGCGCATATTGTGTGCTTAAAATTGCTACTAAATTATGAATTACGAAGAAAATTCTTAAAGCTTATGTTTAGAATACATTTTTTTTTAATTTTTTGATAATCTTATTTTTGTTTTTATGTTGATATTTAATCTTACTCTTACATGCAAAATCTCTGTAAAAATATTGGACGTGTGCACATCAGCCCATGGTGCAAGTAAACTGCAAGCACCAGATTAAATTTATGTTGGAGAAAATTTTACTCCAATTACTCATCATCCAAAACATTATACAAAATTTTAAAAGAATACTCTGCATCGCAAGTAAGAGCCATTTTCCGCAGACTAAACTGTGAGCCACTTCAATGACAACCTTAATTAGCACCGAGTAGTTCGCAACCGTTGACATAATATAATTAACAATGTTTTCCATCACCTTTACAATTTGTTACTTTTTTTAAAAATTTAATTTGATTAGATTCGAGTCTTTTGCTTAATAACTTGTACCGTTGCGTAATCCGCCACAAAGTAATAAAGTTCATTTTGATATTAATCCAAGAATACTATAAAAAATAACAAGTAATTACTGCAAGTCAAGCCAATAGGACAACTTTAGTTGACGCAATCTTGAAATCGCTGCAGTGCGCAATATGCACAGCGGAGATTACTCGTCGAAATTTTTTTTTGTTTTTTTTTTTCTCTACAAAGACGAGAGAGCTCTTTACGTTTGACGCGAGGACTCACGTAAAATAAAAATAGCGGACTAGAAAAAAAGAAGACATCGCTAGCGACGCGACTTTCTCATGTCCATTAAAAACGAATCGTGAGTCGCGACCACATCTCTATTAGAGCCGATTTGAGCGTGTAGAGAGGAGAGCAGCAATAACAGCAGTACTTATTATTATGTTCTATAGATGTATATATATATACATGTTTTTTCCGACGTGGCTCCCTTCCATGTACCTCACCACCTGATGTATAAGTATAATATGTTCATACACATCCGTGTAGGCTGTGCGGTAACAGAGGCAGCGTGACCTATAATGCGAACGTGCCCTTGGGCAACAAGTACTTATCCCCCTGCGATTCTCGTCCACAGAATGCCTGGATCTTCACGAGCGTCGGACTGTCGTACATGACGGGCAGCGCGCTCCTCGGGCTTGCGGTCTTCGAGTACCACGGGGGCGGCTGGGTGCCCAAGAGGACGCGTTCTCAGCTGACGGCGACCGCTTTTCTCGGTCTGTCCTGCGCTCTCCTCTCCTTCGCCCTCTCGTGGCTCCACGGCCGTCACGGCTCGAGCTGCCACGCACCTGTTGCAGGCGAGGATGACCCGACGCAGCAGCTCTACAAGCCCGTCGACAGCTCCTCCTCCGGGGTACGTTTCAGTTTCGTCCGCTTGCAACTGTGCAATACACCATTGGCGTTTCTTTTTTTTCTAACTTTTCCTGCAACCACACCACGTGACTTCAGATCTTGTTAGGATTTTTAATTTTGATCAACAATTTCAAGAGAGGTACTTATTCCAGCAACTAGTGATTGATACGATGTATACTACTTCCTCAAGCCACCGCCAATGTCCACTCTTAAACCAATGTATGATCGAGTATGGGAATAATTTTTATCAGAAATCGTGAGTGTACAATTTCTGATGAAAATCATCCCTAAACTCGTTCAATACATGCACCGAAAATTAATCAACCAAACTCCATTTTTAATTCATTAGTTTTAGTATATTTTCAANTTTTACCGATAATTTATTTCAGGTATTTATAGTTTATACTTTATCAAACCAAAATTCATGATATTAGTTCTTCAAGCTATTGTAACGCACGAAACTTGCGGTGTCCAAATTTTTCGCGATTCTCGTCTTGGGTAGATTTGATTTGGGAATTTGTACAGTACACAGCCATCTTATAGAATGGATTGCTTACTTATGTTTGAATGTACGCTACAATTTCGTCGATTCGTGTATTTTCTTTTATAAGAAATGGTATGGTTTGTAGGATAATTTATCATGTTTTACAGTTTTGCACGACTTTTTTTCTCGTATTAACATATTTATATTGTATTAAATTTTTCATTCTGTCGATAATTCTATTTTATTAAACGTCCCTTGTGTATCAATTAATTTAAATTAGTTTAAGTCCCTATCAAAGTTTATTAAAAAAGGGTTGTAAGAACTGCTTGTAATATCACTAGATTTGCTGGGGTCCAAATGTCCTGACTTCAATGCGGCAATTCACTATTAAATTCGATTGAAAATGATAATTGCCAAAGGTCTCATTAACTCTGATTTAAGTGGATTCAAAATGACAGACCATTTAGAACGAACAACTTATCTTTTTTAACACTTAATTAGAGACACGTTTGGCGCATTTGTAACGTAATATTACCATTTAGTCATCTGAGAAGCAGAGAAATAGACAATTGAGCTCTGTCACATAAAAATGGCTTGAATTTTTGGAGTTAAAAGTCACTGAGTTTTCGAACAGAAGGAAAGAACTTGGCTGAGCTTGAGAGTATTCTTACATCAGAGCCAAGTTGTTTTCTCTTGACTCAAGTTGAAATGTCACTTTCTACCCGAAAATCAAGTTGAACCCTTGGTAAAAACAAAAAAGCTGGAATTATGACACTTTTATCCCTACAATAGCAGTGCAAAGAATAAAAAATAGCTATAGAGATATTATATATTCCAGGAGATGAGAAGTAAACTGTTTGTTTATTCATTGTTCACACTACGAATCTGTACTACTTTTCACCGTACAAAAACGTAATTAAAAAAAAAAAAAAAAAAACTATCCGGTTGATATTGATTGACTTTTGATGTGCACAGACAACCCTGAAGGATGGGGTGCGCTCGACGAAGCAGCCCCCACCCTGGGTGGCAAAAAACTCAAAGAAGTACCAGGCAAGCCTGGACTCGAGCAACGGGAACAACGCGAGGCCGCGCAAGGACCACTGGGCCTCGGCGCGCGACCACTTCCTCAACTCGAACCAGTTCGACGAGGAGATGGAGGACCCACGACCCCAGCAGCCCGGCGCCTCGGCGTCCGCAGCCGACCGGGAGGCCAGGGAGGTCCGCCGCCAGCTGGGACGCCGCCGCGAGGGCGACGGCACCTCCAGCAGCACCGGCCCCGGGAACTTGACCGCCAGCCAGACCAAGACGAGCTTCAGCACCGACGACAGCAAGAAAAAGGCCCCCCCGAAGAAGCTCGCCCTCCAAGGCACCGAGTCGAGTGGCAAAGCCGGCCGTGGCCGCGCTTCCAAGGAGACCGGGGCCGGCGGGAAGAAACAAGGCACCACTCGGACATCGGTGACGCGCAGCGAGATCCAGGAGTACTGGATGCAGGGCTACGAGCACGTGCAGCGCACCGAAAAGACCACCGGCAACATAGACCAGTGGCAGTCCGCCGCGATGAAGAGCCTGGAGGAGAAGAAGGTGAACGACGCGCGCTGGGCCGAGGCTTGGCGCCACCAGAAGGAGCAGCACCCCCCAAAGACCTCGGTTTCTCAGCACTCGCAGCTGTCGCAAGCCTTGCAGTCGCCGCCAGGGTTGGTGGCGCCGCTGCCGATTTCTTCCTCGTCCTCGTCGTCGCAGCCGCAGGTGCCGGCACTGCCCGGCCAGCAGCCAACGTCGCCGCCCCAGCCGCCCCCGAGCGATGATGCCAAGCCTTGTTCCAGCAAGGCCCTGGAGCCCCTCAACTTTGCCTAAGCTCTGGTACCCTCCCTTCGCTCCCATGCACCGGAGTGCGGGCCGAAGAGAGCTGATGGGCCGGTGACAGTGAGTGAGAGGTGGGTGTAAAAGTGCGCGGAAAGACAGAGGAAGCGCAGTGAGTCAGGTGGGACTGCACTTGGCTGGCCGTTGTCCCTGTGCTGCGGAGGCACTGGAAGGGCAGCTGCTATAGGTATTTACCTCTACTCCTTTTCCTCGACGCCTCGTCCTCGCTTTCTACGAGTCGAACGCTCCGTTACTCACGTGTAGGGTATACTCATGATTATGTACACACATGAGCTTGTTCGCTCAAAGAGACACATCGCTGTCAGTGCACGTGTGGTAAAAATGCCTTTTTTTTTTTTTTTTTTTTTTTTTTTTTTTTTTTTTCGCGCAGTAGAGCATATCCTATGTACTTACTTGGCGCGTCTGCGTGCGCGCGCTCGAGTGTCAGCAGCATATCCGTGTACTAGAATCGGCAATTACTAAATTAATGGCTATTCTTCCGCATATAGTCCACGTCGGTGTGAAATTCGCGTACAGAGCAGCTGTGCAATTGGTCGTTCGATCGAGACAAAGGGTTTATTACAATATTACAAGTGTACGGTCAACCAGTGCTGATTCTATCGATATTATTAGAGAAAATATTATACGTAAGATGATTATTTGTACATTGCAGGATTTGTCATTACAAAGTAGGATTAATTACTTTTAAGTCGTATTTTGATGACTATCGAGAGTATATACGGTATTTCTATAGCTAGGAGAGTATCTTTTATTCGGTCTCTCAACGCAACTTTGAGGTATGTTTTTATTCTTGCACGAAAACCGTGAATAAAGGCGCTTGCTTAACAACAACTGGAGAGATTTAATCGAAAATTCAGAGTATACATAATAATTCAGTGGGGATTTTTCATACACAAAGAATTTATTGACTTTTCCAATATCATGGAACTATACGTCAAAAATAGACAGTACAAATTAGTTGACACTTTTCAAAAAAGAACGAGGTCCATCAAAGAGTATCAAAACTAAATTTTTACCGATAATTTATTTCAGGTATTTATAGTTTATACTTTATCAAACCAAAATTCATGATATTAGTTCTTCAAGCTATTGTAACGCACGAAACTTGCGGTGTCCAAATTTTTCGCGATTCTCGTCTTGGGTAGATTTGATTTGGGAATTTGTACAGTACACAGCCATCTTATAGAATGGATTGCTTACTTATGTTTGAATGTACGCTACAATTTCGTCGATTCGTGTATTTTCTTTTATAAGAAATGGTATGGTTTGTAGGATAATTTATCATGTTTTACAGTTTTGCACGACTTTTTTTCTCGTATTAACATATTTATATTGTATTAAATTTTTCATTCTGTCGATAATTCTATTTTATTAAACGTCCCTTGTGTATCAATTAATTTAAATTAGTTTAAGTCCCTATCAAAGTTTATTAAAAAAGGGTTGTAAGAACTGCTTGTAATATCACTAGATTTGCTGGGGTCCAAATGTCCTGACTTCAATGCGGCAATTCACTATTAAATTCGATTGAAAATGATAATTGCCAAAGGTCTCATTAACTCTGATTTAAGTGGATTCAAAATGACAGACCATTTAGAACGAACAACTTATCTTTTTTAACACTTAATTAGAGACACGTTTGGCGCATTTGTAACGTAATATTACCATTTAGTCATCTGAGAAGCAGAGAAATAGACAATTGAGCTCTGTCACATAAAAATGGCTTGAATTTTTGGAGTTAAAAGTCACTGAGTTTTCGAACAGAAGGAAAGAACTTGGCTGAGCTTGAGAGTATTCTTACATCAGAGCCAAGTTGTTTTCTCTTGACTCAAGTTGAAATGTCACTTTCTACCCGAAAATCAAGTTGAACCCTTGGTAAAAACAAAAAAGCTGGAATTATGACACTTTTATCCCTACAATAGCAGTGCAAAGAATAAAAAATAGCTATAGAGATATTATATATTCCAGGAGATGAGAAGTAAACTGTTTGTTTATTCATTGTTCACACTACGAATCTGTACTACTTTTCACCGTACAAAAACGTAATTAAAAAAAAAAAAAAAAAAANTCTTGGGTAGATTTGATTTGGGAATTTGTACAGTACACAGCCATCTTATAGAATGGATTGCTTACTTATGTTTGAATGTACGCTACAATTTCGTCGATTCGTGTATTTTCTTTTATAAGAAATGGTATGGTTTGTAGGATAATTTATCATGTTTTACAGTATGCATTTCACGATAAAAGTAATAACTGTAGTACTGTGAAACTTTATATCACGACAAACAGGTTCCTTAATATTAAAATGCTAGATGTGTTGTTTATAAAGTTTTATTATAAATCGCACCAAAGTTTTTTAAAATCCGTATTAACTAAATTTACGGTATTATTTTACGCTTAAATACCATTCTGATACTTTTTTGTGGGCGTTGATAATTACAATGATTCTTTTACACATAAAAAATTGTTTACTCTTCCATACTTGAAACATTTCTTACGGTATATGAAGGATCAAATTACTATAACTGAAAAATATGGTCACTAGTCCTTCTTTCAGAAAATATATGGAATAAACATTCTCATTCTACACCACACTAGTATCATACATCGCTTCGTTATAAGAGGTTCAATAAATTGTGCAATTTTTATTATGTTTACTTTTTTCCTAGACTAGTATGCTCAGAAAATTTAACTTTGATGAAAGAAGAGTGAAGGGAGCTGAAACATACTCATTAGCTCAAAAGTTCCATACAATTGAAGACAGTGACCATTTGAAAACGCTTTTCTCGTTCTTTAGGAAATTGTTGAGTATTTTCAATATTTCTATTTAATCTTGATCATGAAAGCAGTTTATGTTTTCAAATTAAATGTCTTTCTAACTGCACACTGAAAAGTTTTTTGATAAATTTATTGTATAAACTGCGGCAAAGTTAGGACATCGGGCAAAGAACAATGATTTTTACATAAATTAGTTAAAAAGTAATACTTTTAGAAATTACGCAGTGCACAAAAAAAATTTTTACTGTAAGAGTTACCATTTTGTGCGAGAAAGTAGAGACTTACTTGCAGTATGAAAATTTTTTATTGTATTTAATAGTAACTTTTATTATAAACATTGTCAATACGTACACAAAACTCACATATAAAAAGTCACAAACTAAATTTTCTATTTAATCTTAAAAATACAAATTTTACGATAAAAATAATGGAAACCTTTATTATAGATATGAATTTGGTAATATTTCAAACTATTCTCATTGAAAAATTATACCGTAGCTCTTACCGTTAAAATTCCTTTAAAAAATTTCTTTGTGGAGGTGAATACCTCAATTTTTGATGCACTTCCAGAACATTTATCAGTACACAACATTTTTGGTGTTGCTTGTTCTGTAAAATATTAAATAAAAGAATTGAGTTTGAAGCTACAAAAAGTTATATGAATTTCCTAATGACTAAAAAAATTGGATACGTATCTTAATACTATAATTTTTATTTATTTATATAAAAGCTAAACACCAATTGCCCGTGGAGGTAAATTAGTTCCAGAAAAAAATTAGATAACTCCCGTAGCCAACGAAACAGCAAATCATAAAAAAATTTTCCATCAAATATGATGATATCGTTTTGCATGATTTTACCTACTTGTTAAAAGTTTGACAAAGCTGTTCCATCGACTAGATCAAATTTAATATATATTTTAACAATGAATTTCTGCAAAGATGCGTGATTTTTTGTTACATAAGGAAGTAGCTTCCTTCGTATTTATTTGAAAGAAAATATATCTCGAAGCTTAGTTGGATCTCAAAGCACATATGTACGGTATTATTCGCTTCTTATAAATTAAGAATTTGCAAAAGTTTTTTTGAATAATTAAAGTATCTTTAACATTGATGGAGTACAACTCCTCAGTTATTAATGTAAATATATAAGATGAGGTGCCAAGCTGATTCCATTTATTAACGTTCATAATTAGAATTTATTAGAACAGTTCGAACTTGAAATGTTACACTTAAAGCAATAAAGATTCTCTCAAAATTATAGAAATTTTTCTATGATAATTTTTTCAGTTTTGTGACTCAAGAAATCCTGTATTCTTAGCATACTGTAAAAATCTTACTGTATAGAATAAGTTTTGTAAAATGCAATTTACTTTATGGCTTACAAAATATGATTGATGGAATATTTCCTTACAAAAATGCTTATATTTTCAAAATCCATTTAGAATAAATATACGTGCATATTCTCGTTACGTAAGGCGAACGTAAAAAAAGATGATTTTTATGTAAACGAGATTTTAAATATTCCGATAACATTAACATAATTTAAAAAGAAAAAGTCTATTAACTTCTTATAATCAAATGAGCTAGTATTATTATCCTAATTATTATTTATTATTATCATTTCCTTTGTTTTTTACGAAAATAAAACATTTTATAGTATTCCTTGTACGATTGAAGAGTGTTCTCTTCGTTCAGTCTTTTGAAAAAAGATTTGAATTCCATAGCGTAAGACCTGCGTATAATTGTATGTTAAGAATTATTTAGTACTCCTAAATCTTTTATTATATATAGCAGAGAAATGACTATTTTTACACCTTAATTAATAATTCAGTTTATTTGATATTTCACTGCTTTTATATTATAAGATTTTAGAGTTGTGTAGAGTTCGAAATCATAAGCTTTGAAAGCTTAAGCATACNGTTGAAAAACTTCTTTGGAATACGATTTAAAAAAAATTCAGTCTCTGTATAATATAGGTTTTCCAACGTCATCGACCGTACTAATAAATCGTGGTTGTAAATAATATATAAAGTATTTTAGCTGTAACAAATCAATTTTTGTTCTTAGTACAGACTATTATATTAGTTTATACTTAATTTTTAATGATTATTTTGGCTGAAGTCAGATTGCAGAGGCCAAAATTAAGTTGATTTATTTATTTTATGTACTTCCTAAGGCTATAGAACAGCGATACTT